ATTTTTACCCCAACAAGTTGTGTCCTAAAAAGCTTCTACCTGAAATTAAATGAATTAACTTAATTAAACAAAAACATAAATTCAGAAATACTTTGTAAATCATTTATTCTTTTATTAGAAACATTTTTTTTACCTAACTTCAGTCATTTAATCCTGTCCACTCTGTTACATCAGTACCACCAGGTTCCTGATGAGTACTTCACCAGCGCAGTGGTTCTCTCTCTGATCCTAGCGGCCTTGTTTGGAATTGTTTATCTTCTCATCATACCGCAGTATGTTCATCAGATAATATTTGTTCTTCTCATAATTTTTTTTTTAATTCCCAAACATCATTAACTTATTTTGCTCATCTGTGCTTTTTGTTTTTGTTTTTCATTGAATTCAGGGGCACAGTTGTACTTGTGCTTCTCGTCTTCTGCATCTGTTTCCTTGTAGCTTGCATTATGTACCTGCATATCACGAGAGTACAGGTAAGCACAGATCCTGTTTTAGCTTTTATGTAGGTTGTTTTAATTTTTTTTCTTTGCACACTTCTTTATAATATACTGATTGTCTTCTGTTATCAGGAATTTACAAAGATGTCTTGTTAAATATTATTTATGTATTTATTGTGCTTTGTTTTATTATATTATAGCTGTTGATTTTTTTAAGACTTTTTTTTTTTGCAAGTTTACAATCTTTAAATCTCAGTGTATTTTACTAAGATTCTGTGTCTTAAACCAACACAAATACAGCATGATTATGAAATGGATTAAAAGGAAGCGTGCTTTTCTAAACTATCTCTAGCTGTGCAAAGCAAATGCAGACATGCACTAAACACTTGTATTTGTCCTGTTAATTATTAGTTTAAATTCTTTTTTAAATATTTTCTAACAGTTCTATTATATAATATGCCCTATCAGAATAGTTTTTTTTTTCTTGATGAACATTAATATCAGTGTATAAAATATAGGCATGCTGGTCTTTGGTGATGATTTAATGTAGTTTTTTTCTTCTTACATTCAGTGTTTTCCGGGGTGCCTGACCATTCAGATTCGAACTGCTCTCTGTCTTCTTATAGTGCTTTTAATCTACGCTGTGGCCCAGGCTTGTGTTGTAAGTCCCAAAATGAATATACAAAATGTGACATTAGAGCTCAGGTTATTTCAAGTTTCTTTTTTCTTTTATAGGTTTTAGAGAAATACAAGCTGCTCTTTAGTGTTTCTTTCAAGAAATGCCTTGCTTACGTCAGCGAGACGTGGACAAGCTACATTTACCTGTTTTTAAAAGTGAAACTGCTTGCATTCTTAGATTTATGTTGCTTTTCCTTTGATATTTCTTATGCAAAGTGCAGACAGTATTGATAGCATATGCAGTTTAGAATAATGTCCTCAAGTATAACTCACATACTGAGTATATTTATGCATTCTTTGTCTCTATTCATAGGTGGGTTGTATGCCCTGGATGTGGGGAAGTGCCAATACAAACAGTTCCATTATCATCATTGATGTGGACAGGGGAGCCAACCGGACCATGGCCGAGTTGCCCTGTGATGGGGCCCGCTATGCTTTTCTTTCCTGTGTAGTGGGCACCCTCACATTAGCGCTTTTCCTGCGAGTATCCTGGTTGCCAAAGATGGCGTTGATGCTCCTTTTGGGAGTGCTGTACATCACTGTGCTGGAGCTCAGTGGCTTTCGCAAGACTGCGGGGTAAGGTTCGAAGCAGGTCATACATTAAACATACACTTGTATATGTATTGTTTAGTGTTTATTTTTATTTATTTTGCATCGATAAGATCTAAGATCTGACAGTAAGATTTAAATTCATAGCCTACAGCTTTGCAGTCTTATTAACAAAATGGATATCATATTAGAAAATATTTATTTCACTCATTAAAAAAAAAATCCTTCTTGATTTGCAGCAAACCACTGGAGTCTTGACATGAATTTGGAAAAAGAAAAAAAAAATTGTGGGCATCCTTACAACAATGCATGTGCAGCTTAATGGGGAAATGATGTTCCATGAGTTGTGTGGGTCATTCCATCATCACATTGCTGTAAATGCTAAGTGTTATTCTTTGTTTGCTCAGTACAGGAAGTGCACAGATAAACAAGAGTTGCAGGAGCATTTACAGTATGTGTGCTGTGATGTATGTGTGTAGAGGAGTCGTTGCTTGTCTTCAGCCCACACACTCTTTCATTTTCCACCCTTTGAAGCAGCACACATGCTTATTAGTTCCAAATCAGAAGCCTGAAAGGACAATGTGGGTTGGGATGATGGGACCACATTAGTTCAGAGTGGAGGGGCTTGGACAGTGTTATTGGAGCTTAGATCAGAAATTTGCTTTGGAAAATTCTGGTGCAAGTTTAGAATGAGTTTTCTTTTCGTGCACTTTATGTTGTTGATGGGCAATTACAACCAAATGCATTAACTGCATGACAATTCATTTGAGAATTTTTATAAGGAAATCAAATTAATCTTGACTTGTGATCTCTCTCCTAGCGCTGTGGTGGGTCCGGTCAACCCTCCTGTGTTGTTTTTCTTTGTGGTCTGGTCTACTGCTAACTTCTGTGTTGGTCTCTTCCACAGTGGGGGGTCTTTCCACATCCGGGGTTATGAGCCCATCCTGTCTCTGTTGCTCTTTGTCAGTGCCCTGGCCCTCCACTCCAGGCAACTTGACCTCAAGCTGCGCTTGGACTTCCTTTGGGCTGTGCAGGTTTGGAAGACTGTACTTATGTGCAAAGTGTAACGGACTGTGAATGTTTTTGGGCGCACATTTGTGAATTTTAATCAAAGTTTAAGCACAAGTGCCATATTTCTGTCATTTCAGATTTATTATATTAGGTAAAATGAGGGGGTTCAATGCTACTGGCAGCAACCAGTTGGTGTTTTTTTTTTTTTTTGGCAAAAACAAGAGTAAGAACATTTTGTTGGCCGTGTTTCACTTGGAGTCACTTACTCTTGTATTTGCACATTGTCATTAAAGTTCTAACTATTAAATCTAAAACTTTAGATTTAATAGTTGACCATTTAAATAGCTGCTATGTAATTTTGAATAGTTTTTTTTTTTTTTTTCTGAGAAGGCTTTTTACTGACCCCATGTGGTAGAAATGTGAAAAAGACTCAGGCATTCTCTGCTCGTTTCTTTTTTTGCGCGCTGCCAGGCGGAGGAGGAACGAGATGGGATGGAGAAAGTAAAGCTGGACAACAGGAGGATTCTCTTCAATCTACTGCCTGCCCATGTGGCTCAACACTTCTTAATGTCAAACCCCAGAAACATGGTGAGCCATGCTAATAAACAGGCATGCAGGCAGACTGACCAACAGGTAGATGAAAATAGAGGAAATGACAAGTAATAAAAGACGCAAATGGACATCTTTTTTTTTTCTTTTACGGGGTTCTGTGTTTTTTATTAGGATCTGTACTATCAGTCCTACGCCCAAGTAGGTGTCCTGTTCGCCTCAATTCCAAACTTTAATGATTTCTACATTGAACTGGATGGCAACAACATGGGAGTGGAGTGCCTGAGGCTGCTAAATGAAATCATTGCTGACTTTGATGAGGTATGTTTCTCGTCTTATGATTTACTTGACCTTCTGTTGCTTGAATGTGGTTTTCATTCTAATATTTATTGCCTAAATGTCCATTTTGCAGCTTATGGACAAGGAGTGCTACAAAGACATCGAGAAAATCAAAACTATTGGCAGCACGTACATGGCAGCTGTTGGGCTTGTCCCCACCATTGGCACCAAGGTGGCTGTTTATCCATCTTTCTTTGGGATTTTTTTTTTTCTGAATGTTAGAGTTTGATTGGGTTTTTAAAAGAAAATGTCTGCATTGGAAGTATTAGTTCCCTTACCTGTTTTGGAAGGAGATCATATTGCAGGAAATTGGTAGAAAAATTGTGAAAGACTAGCCATTTTTCTACCAAAAAAAAAAGATTTGGTAGATAAAAAATTTGGGGTAAATATTAACTGATTGCACTTCCAGAACAGGCCATTGTTGCTGTTTGAAGTCGGTTCCCCATTTAAACAACTTGTACGCAGAGCCTTACTATTTCTCTGTTCTATAGGCCAAAAAATCGGTTTATGACCATTTGAGCACAATCGCAGACTACGCCATAGAAATGTTTGACGTGTTGGATGAAATCAACTACCAGTCGTACAATGAATTTGTCCTCAGAGTGGGTAAGTGGACCCGCAAAATGACTCTGAATGTGAGTAGGAATACTAAGGTAATTTGGTGTAAATTCTGTTAATTTGGACAGGAATCAATGTTGGTCCAGTAGTTGCTGGGGTGATCGGAGCACGGCGACCACAGTACGACATCTGGGGTAATACAGTGAACGTGGCCAGTCGGATGGACAGCACGGGTGTACCAGGAAAAATTCAGGTAGATAAAACACTAATTGACCAGATATCAAGCATAAGCTCTATATCAAATGCACATATCTCTAAACCATACATTTCGAAATGAAAGTGTAGTTAACTCCCAGACTTATTTTTAGTTCATTTTCTGTAGTTTTGTTTGAATAGTTTAATAGACCTGAACCAAAATCAAACTTAAGTTGAGCATTAATTTCCAACAAGTGTATTTTTAATTTTTTTTTTTAAAGAAACGGTAAAGCGCAATGTTTTTGTTTTCCAGGTGACCGAGGAGGCATATCGAATGCTGAATAGCAACTACGATTTAGTCTGCCGTGGTAAAGTCAGTGTAAAAGGTAAAGGTGAGATGCTGACATACTTTCTGGAAGGTAAAGTGCAGGGCATCGGCACGGCGACCACTTCATCGGTGATGCGTTCCACCAGCCTGGCACGCCGTATCCATTCCTGTGGCAAGACGAGCGTGCCGACCCATCTGGGCAGCGTCTCCTCCGCTGCCAGCCTGGCTGCTCAAGCCAGCATGGGTGGCAACTTTCAGACGAGCTCTGCCAACATCAGCAACAGCCAAGCAACATGCCTCCCGTCGCCCTGTGTGCTAGGTGAAGTGGAAAATGAAGACGACGTCGAGGTGACACACATTCAAATCGAGGCTGTGGCAGCCATTGCGGATGTAGCAGTGTAGGAGGAACGACGGGACGGTTTTGAATGCAGCAGGAGAACCTGGAGAAGTTGGGGCTGTCCACGGATTTCTCATACGTCCTAGGAAATCCTGACATAACCCAAGATGTTTTCGGCCAGGATAACGTGCTGAAGTATTATAAAACTGACAATCAAACTTGCTTTCAGAGATTTTCTTAACTGATTGCCTCTATACAGAGTTTAGATGTGGAGGGGGAAGAAAGATGCAAGCAACTGCTCAACATCCTATGAACATCGCTATACCAGATGATTAGATTTGTGGTGTTCTCGGGTTCCTGTGCAGGTATATCCAGGTAATGTGTGCAACCTTGTTTTATATGAAGTACGTATTCCCACGTACAAGGAATATGTACATTGATGCCCAGAAAAAGACTGATCATGCATTTGCTTTTGCACTGTCTTTCTGATTATGCCAAGGATATATTGCATTATTTACAGACAAACAGTTTATTTATACTTTGTTGTATGAAGGCATGCATGTTTATAATTGTAAGTGTGTGTATGCATGTGTGTTCAGTTTGAAATTGTAACAAAACAGCACAAAATCCTTTTTGTATTCACCTTTCACCGGATGAAGCTGGCTTTTTATGAAATATGGCGGTTTATCTTGGTGCATGATTTAAAAAAAAAAAAAAAGTCAAGAGCCATAAGTGATGATACTCTGCTCGAGAGGAAAAACCAAAGTAATGATTTCAAGTTTTAGAAATGTCACAGAAAAAGGATCTTGCACTTGTTACTTTCAAACATTATTAACCAATTAAAAAAAAAGTGTCTTGTCTTGATATCACCTGGATTCACAGAGTCTAAAGTAAATGTGTGTATGAAAGCAGCATACACTGATGGGGCTGTTTTCACGGTCGGTATGCACTAAAAGAGCTGGAAGGAGTGAAAAAGGTTAGTTGAATGTTGAATGCGTGCTGCCACAGAAACTAGTTCATGCCAAAATGAGAAGGTTCACTAAAAAACAAAAAAAAAAAAACAAAAAAAAAACACTACACAGAACACCAACAAGCACACATGAACATACAGTGCCTTGAAAATTTATTCATACCACTTGAACATTTCCGCATTTTGTCACATTACGGCCACATACTTTAATGGATTTTAATAAGATTTTAAGTGAAAGACCAACTCAAAGTAGACCGCAGCTCTGAAGTGGTGCGAAAAACTCATTTCAGTTTATTTATATAGCATCAATCACAGAAACAATACTAGTTTTACGTTCCTACTCTTCTGTATCTGTGGAGTTCGCCGCTAAAAGCTGTTCCATCAATGGTATCAAACAATAAGCTGTGGATCTCTGCAGCCCATCAAGACTCACCATGGGCTTTTTTGTTTCTTCTGAAAGATCTTCTTGCACATCTTCCAATTCAGATAGATGACAGAAGCTTGGCTTGTTTTGTTATATAAAACTCTTTCCAGTTTTTGCCAGACGGACTGAGAAGTGCATCGGCAGATGTTCAAAGTTTGGAATATCTGTTCTAGAATCTAGCCCTTCTTTAAATTTTTCCACAACTTTATTTGCTGGTTTTTCTACTGTGTCTGTTGGTTTTTGCCTGCCCACTAATGCTCACAAACAAACCTCTGATGCTTTTATCAGTAATGCCCTACTTTGTGATGGTCTAGAAAATTCTAAAAAAAAAAAAAAAAGGACATTGATGTTTGTGATTGTTATGAGGAAAATGTGAAAATCCAAGGGGTACAGTTACTTTAACAAGGCACTGTAGACTAATGGATGGCATTCATCCATACAGAAGGGAGCACTTACATGGTAATAAGCACACCACTTCTATAAATGCATGACCTTTAAGTGTTTTAAATCCTTAGTCTGTGTACATTACCTTATTTTCTTGAGGCTGCAGAAACTTCGGTGCCGTGTCTATAGCTGCTAATGTTTTTTTCTTCAGGCTTATACATTACTGTACAACTGCTTTTCAGTATAATAAAGCTAGAGTTTAAGAATAACATTAAGCACACATCTCTCAGATGCAGTTTCATAAATATGAGGCATGTCGGATATCTTTATAGCCTGTATCTTTAAGTGCATAGATATCTTCACTTGATATGGAAAAGTGTGACTACATCACGTTTCAAGTTTTTTGCCTTACTCAATAAGCTTACAGTGATTGCAACTTGCCTTTCTAGATTTATTCACTTTGATATGCAGATCATCTTTTTTTTTTGTTGTTGTAAATAGCCAAAACCTGTAAACTATGTTGTATCTTGTACAGTGTAAAATTATTGAATATTTTGTAATAAAGACAATATTGGTGCATAAAATATGAGAGCGCTTTGTGAGTTTTAAAAAATGAAATAACTTCTGTCTGACTGCATAAAATGGCAATATTGTGACCAGCAGTGTGTGTGCTTTTTCTTTTAAGGAGCCGTTTTTAGTGTTGACCAATAGAGTTTCCTTCCAGAAACAACCAAACACCGTGTGGTGAACAAACAGCTTTGTGTGTGGATCTTTCCTTGTTAGTCACACTCAATAGATTTTTATGCTACACATTCTATTCTCTTCACGTAATTGGTTTTAAAATAACAGTTTTTGGCTTAGACAGACAATAAATGTTTTGTGGGAGCACCTTGGCGAGCCGGGAGCCAGATGAACATCATCACGTCTTAAACTCTGGGCAGCAGCCACAAAACTGTTTTCCCAGCACTGATGCAGAGTTTGTGTAGAGTTCACTCGGTGTAACAGTTGAGTCAACAAACACGTATCTTGTGCAATATTTGACAGATAGTACAGCATGGGAGTTGTTATTGGTTTGCAGAGGAATTTAGCTAATTCTGGTCAGTTGTCAATGACCTGCAGACCGCTCTACAGAGGTCTTGGCATGAAGCACTAAAAATGACAGCAGTTAAAGCTAATTATTAATAATTTGGAGAAAACAAAATGAAGACTAACATATACTAACGATGATTCAATTTTAAGACATGAAATAAAAAATATAATTTAATTACCATCTTTCAATAAATTACAGACAAATACAGACCAGATAGGTCTGTATTTGTCTGTAAACAGGGCTGGGTTAGCTTTTTGACAGCATACTTTGGGCGACTGACATTAATTATGAATATAAATGCAACTGGGTGTTTTTTTTAATAACCCATACATTGGATTATTGGGTTTGGTATTGGGTTGAATCAATTATTTTTAACCCTCCTGCGGCCTTAAGAGATGGGGTCATCCAGACCCATCAAGGTTTTTTTTTACTCTGTGTGTGGGTCACACTGACCCTGTGTGCACTTTTGCATAGTTTTTTTTTTGTGTGTGTGGTTTCAGAAACTGATGATCTGACGGGAAAATCCACCCTCTCCCTCCCCGCTTCACCTTTGATGTTTTCTGCGCTCTTTCTGAGAAATGTGATAACACTGGGGTTAAAGGGTTAAAGATCAATTTGCTATACCTTCTTTACAGTTGCAAGGCTGTATGAAGATTGTATGCAGATGAAGTTGGTCAGTTTTAGTCTGATGTCTCCAAATAAAATCTCTAGCAGCCTTGAAAGTTACCAAAACCGCTGCTGAAACTAAAAAAGACAAGAGTGAGGATAAGCGATTCAAGGTATGTCAAGCAGAGGGTGTGACATTGTATCAAAAGCAAACAATGAAAACCAATTTTATTTGTATAAAACTAAAACTTGTGACAGTTTTTTTTATGTACTTCTGTGAAAGCTGGAAGAATCATGTAGTTTTTAGATGGCAGTAACCTGCTTTAGTCAGGGTCTACATCTGAATAACTATTAGTCTGCTCATCAGGTGAGCTCTTTCTCTAAACTCACAACAAGTGATGTTTACTGCAAGTACAACACTGACTGACTGCTTTTAAGAGCTGTGCAGAATGCTACAACAGAAAAGTTCAATTACCCCTCTAAACTTGCAGGGGTGCCCAAAGTCGGTCCTGGAGGGCCGGCATCCTGCATGTTTTACTTCTCTCCCTGGTTTAACGCACCTGGATCCAATGATGGCTCGTTAGAAGGCCTAAGAGGAACATTGACATGCTGAGGAGGTTGCAACTACCACCAGGAAGAGAACTAAGACATGCAGGATGCCGGCTCTCCAGGACCGACTTTGGGCACCAACTAGTTCAGCCTTTATTGCAGATCTGCAATAATTTAGGGATTTAGGTGACTTTGAATATTGTAAGGTTACTGGTGCCAGATGGGTTAATCAAAAATATTTCAGTAACTGCTTCTGTTGGATTGTTGTTTGCTGGAGAGATATCCGGTTAACTGCCCACACCTGCTTGCAATAATTGGCTAACAAAAAGAAACTTTCCTTCCTCATGTAGATCAACCAGCTGCAGGGACACCGCCAAGCAAAAAATGTAAGTTTTACCTTCTCGTGTAGAAAAGAAAACAAAGCAGCTTTCAGAGAGCAGGTCGCTTGTTCTTTGTGTTTTTAGCATAACATAATGCAGAACATAGAGAAGGTGCAAATTCTGGAGCCAATTCAAGAGGAGTCAGAGCAGGAAGATGAAACTGTGGGAAGAAAAGGAGAGGAAGAAAAGAAGGTGGAAAAAGAAGATGAGTTACCATTTCAAGTGGGTGTAGAGACAGACGAGGCACTGGCAGAAAATGAGAGGGAAGAAGATGATGTTCCACTGATGGTTCGGAGACCAGGGAGGCGTCCTGGTTCTCGGAAATACGAGACTTCGATCCGGACTCGATTCAACGAGCAGACGAAAGAAACCGAAACCTCTTCAGTGTCGGATGCAAGCACTCATTCTACTGATCTGTGCGAAGAAGCTGCACCTCTGCCAGTGTTTGGGTACGAGAGGAGATTGAGTAGTAGGAGGCTGAGATTAAAGGCGAGATTAGCCAAGCTCTTTACATTTATGAGCTTTGACATCTTCGATTAGAAAGATTTGCTCATCTTTCCAATGTCTTCTTTAAAGGTCTCCAAAACTATGTGGCAAAAATGTACAAAATCACATCAGCCAAAGAAGAGAGAGAGTTTAAGATACACGAAGGCGCAGGTATTAGAATTAATTTCTCCTCCAGATTTTTATGCTGCTCAAAGCATTTTTATATATTTTTTTTTTTGTGACATTCCTATCTTATTTTACTTAAAGCAGGAGCCTTTTCCTCAGTGGCTTGTGAGCCTGATGGTCGACATTGAAGAGGCAACAACTCATCAACTGGTGGTTGAATAAAATGTATTGACTTGTGAGAAATACGATTGCTTAATGCAGAGTACAATTTTCAGCCAAGTTTCCCTCTGCTGGACTGTAAATTTAGTTTGTGGCATGTAAGCTCTTAAGTTTGATTCTTGTTTGGCACCGTCAGGCACATTGTTAGTGTCTTAGTTTGCTTAGCACAAACTGTTTCTGTATGTGTAGCCAATTGTTAAAATGGAAGTATCAGATACTGATTTAATCGCTTCATTTACTGTGCCTTGTTTATTCTTTTTGGGACAAATGCATAATGGCCAGCAAACACGGAGTACCTTCTGATGACTTATGAAAACATAGGCCATATTGGAATACATTTTCATAAGTCCAAATCCATATTTAATACATTTCCACTGAGTGAAATCTAATTGCTCTGAGAAGTCGTCTGATGAATCATTGGAATACCTATGCTTGTAATTTAATCAGTATAAATGCATCTCTTCTGTTTAAACCTCAGAACTGTGTGCCAAAACGTATGACTTAAAGGTTACCACCATTTGGTACAAGACATAGAATGATGGCTGGAGAACTGGTGTACCAATGGAGAAAAGTAACTGAGAATAATGGACAGCTACAAAATGATAAAAAAAAAATTTCAAATTGGAGGGTAGTTTTCAAAACCGTCTTGCACAAAAAATTGTTTGGGGATCCGATTTGGTGCACGGCAAAAGATGACCGTAGGCTGACGCATCTGTCAATTGTCAGATTGTTGTTGTTTTTTTTGTTGTTTTTTTTGGTAAATGTGTCTATGAAAAAACATCCAATTATGGTTGTTTTTCTGTCGACAAACATGTTGTGATTCTAGCAGACAAATCCA